TTATGGTATAAAATGTATATGAGAAGGATAAATTTCCACGACATAGTGAAAAATTGTGTACAGTATATTATTGAAATTGTATACTGTACCATAAAATTAAATCTCTTCAATAAAAGAGCATTCGTTGATTCACAACAATATAAAGTAGGTATTTAGAAACTTATAAATGGGTGGGCTGGGGTTGGGGGTGGTGGGTGGGGGTGAAACATTTCAGATTGTTCTAGATGGGAGACTAATTTTTTAACACATTAAATGGGGGTTATTTTTACTAAACTGTTTAAATTTTAGAAACCACCAGCACCTCCCCCTAATCATAAATAATGAACCTTCTCTAAATATTGCGCATCTTTCTCGAACAAGAGAATCCACTAAAAGTATAATATCCCAAATCAAATGAAATAATTTGTGTTTTATCCACTGTCTGCTGTAATGCAATGAATAATATAAGAACCTCTTCAGTTACCACATGCAGGTTAAGAAAAAATATGCGATACATTCATAATCTGCCAGCCAAAGATACGACATTTTTTGTGGCAAAAAATCTCACTAAAAATACTCTTAATTATTTCAAAAGCCTGTATCTTGCGTTGGGGCTTGCACGAAAGGAACAATATACTACTATTGTGTAACTATCACAGTGAGTAGGAAAAGATGAATCAAATGTATAACCTGCCAACCAAGGATAAGACATTTTTCTGGCACAATAGTTTCCACCAGAAGTTTGGATTGATTATTCCAAAGCCTATATTAATTTGCTTCGCGCTGTAAACCAAGGAATAATATAGTAATCATTATTGAAAAGATGGGACATATAGATTTATAGCTGGCCAACCAAAGCTGTTGATATTTCATGTGGAGCGGTTTTCACTTTGAACATCATAATTAATTCAAGGCATGTGTTTCTTTTGAATCTTTGACAAAAAAACGCTACCTAACAGAACATTCCCCTCCAAACTTGCCGGTATCGGTACCAGATAATTTATATGCATCATATGTATGACATCGATCAGGGTTTGGAATAAACGTTTTCTTAGTTATGTATATCTGAAAGGCTATATTTATAATGTAAATATAAGTAAAATTATACTTGCCTTGTGCATGTTATCGGGCATGAGAATACAAATGAAAAGGAAAATTCTTAACCAGGGGCGTTGGAGCAGCTCTAAGAGTAGGGGGGGGGGGCACACTTAGCGCTCGCCGAAGGCGGGTGACTTTCTAAGAGGACATCCCCAAGGGGAAAATTAAATTACAGCCTCTGAAATATAATTTCTATTAGAAGGAGATTTACAGAGTTCTGAAGGTGACAAAATGCCATAAAATATCTCAAATTATTTTGTCTACACGCGTAACTGACATAATATCAATTAACTTTGAGGTTTATTGCTGACCATTGTTGGAAAGTGTGTGTGTGGGGGGGGGAAGGACATTTAGCCCCCTCTAACAAAAATATGTGCCCCCCCTTCCGACGCCCCTGTCTTTCGCACGTTGGGGTGGAACTCATTCAACTTAATCTAGTACTAAACCAGTAGATTGCTGCAGCTCTGTGATTCCGAAAAAAGAGACCAAATGATTAATGCGGCATGAAATAATTAAAATGTCAATTCTATCAAATACCAAATTTTAAGGTTGAAAACAGCCAAAAAGCCAAGTAATGTGGAAGATGAATGCAAAAATTCGCAAGATAATTCTTTACGCTATTAAATCAGTTTGAAACAAGTACTATAAGATATAGCACAACTGGAATATACCGATGATCGGCATCGTCATATTACACATATAGGCAAACATTTATTAGTTCTATGAAGCCGACTAAAATCCATCGATTCTTTCTACATAATTTAATACTAACTGAGTTAACTGGTAAACATTTAGTATGGTTTATCGGCAGATTAAAATGAATTGTATTATAGTGACGTATTAGTGACGTCATGAATTACTCTATATAACAGGAAGACTTAATAAAATTTATCATTCTGTTTATAACTTTGGTATAGGGCGTAAAAGCCGACACTGGATTTTGGCGACGAGGATTCATGGTCTATGAGTTGAGAAGAAACTTAGAACGGTCAAAATAGACTTCATCTGAGTGGAAACAATGGATCAACGCCTCCAATTATACACTACAGCTACTGGACTCAGTAAGGAACTTTGCTGCACTGTTTTGGTCCAGCTACTCAAATAATGTTTGAAACCCTACCCGAAGCAAAGAAGACTTACACAGAAGCAGATTTGGTTCTTCAAAAGTATTTCGCACCTGCATGCCGCACTGCGAATGCATAAGAATTGCCAAACAAGAACTTCAGTTAATAGCTGTTACCCGGACAAAAGAACACCCATTTGTCAAAGTGGAGAGTCGAGAAAGAGAGAAAACAGGCGTTGTTTTAGCTATGGCAATCGCAATAGACAGTATGGTCAAAATTGTCGGGTTTTCGGCCTTTTGGCATCTAGCGGGCGTTTGTCGTTCCACAAAGCACCATCAAAATCAAAGATAAAGTTATAACCAATAAAAACCTTCAACGAAAAAAAATGAAAAGAAAAAGGCAGGCTCTAAAATTCCGACTGTATCAGGAGGTTGGTTAGACGAGCTATTTACGTTTGAAGATGATTTTGAACCGGTGCTTTGTTTTGAACAAGAAAGATTCCTCCGTTCGACTATCAGTCAATGGACAGAATATTATAATCGTAGTGGGAAATATTACATCATCTCGTGCAAACAGGACAGTGTTCAAAACCTGCGAGCTGTAGCAAACGAAGAAAACGTTCACAGCGAATGACCATGCCACAAAAGCCTTTGAATTGTCTTCGATACTTCCTAGCAATGTTAGTCATTTCGGTCAAGTAACTTTTACAGCATAATTATAAATAGTAATATATATGTAATTGAAGGGAAAGCTGAGGTTTTCATCGGTAGAGAACCCATATTGCTTTGATTTTAAAGTAACGAAGCCAATCAATACACTATGTAATGTAAGTAACGCAAGAAATAATTCCTCTGTACATAGATAATGAAACTTAGGAGAGTCTTGATAAATTGTGAAATGAATTAAGATACCTCAAAACAAGAACACATCTATAAGACTATATATTGAAAGCGTTTCAAAAATATTGTTTACGCCGTTGGGAGTACACTCACTAAAATCTAGTGTCCTGTTCACGTTTTCTCATCCACGTTGAGGTTTGTTTGGGGAGTTCTCTTAGCCATTTTTCCAGTGCTCGCCATTACATTATTGAATGGTCCTGCATGGATTGCATACTATCTGGCTTATCGTATGCAAGTAACAACTGTGAAATAGATGTCAATCAAAGCGAATGTCATTAAAATATGTTTCAAGTAGACATCATGCAGTGCTAGACCTTATTTTGTTTTCGTTGCACAAAATGACTTAGTAAGTACAGCACTAAACAATGTTCTACGTAAGCTGTACATTTGTGCTGTGATAATCATTTGATACCACACTCAGGAAACAGTGAAATTATGCCATTCATTCGAACGAATTTCGTGGGACCGTTACAAGCGATTAAATTAGGAAATTATTGCCTTAACTGCTTAAGTATGTTGAGAGAAGCGATATGGTTTGGTGTTGAAACCTAATTGGTGTTTAAATTAAATTAAAGTTTTCACTTTAATTTAATTTAAACACCAATTAGGTTTACACCACAAAGTATATATTGCCTACAATAATATACATGCAGATTTAAGGTCGTTTTCCATTAGGCGAATTTTTTCGCGAGACGCAATTTTTTGCCGTGAGCATGCGCATTGCAATCAATGACGAATTTTCTCGGCGAAAGTAATCGCTCTGCTGCCGAAAAAGTAGGATCATGTTCAACTTTTTCGTGGCGAAAACCAAGCGATGAAAAAATTGACCAGTCAGCTTGCGGGAACTGCGAAGTAATATTTTTGAAGCACAATTGTTTTTTACAGTATGGAAGACGGAACTTTGTTCGCAAATTTGTCGGCAGACAATATTTCCGAAATTGAAGACCTTGTGCGGCAAGCTAGAAGAGGTTCCGAAAGCGAGGACACAGCAAAATATGGTCGAGGCAACGGAGAGTACTAGCACCGAATTTGACAAAGAGTTCTTCATCGAAGAAGTGAGACAACTAAGTTGTCTTTGGGACACAAACTCGTCTTTATACAAAGACCGTACGGTCAAATCGAATGCTTGGAAGAAACTGTCTGAAATTTTTGACAGGGACGGTAAGTATTAATCGTTAATGTTTTTAATCAATATGCGCTTCCGTTTCCGTTCCATGAAGCCATGCCTCCGCATTGAAATCAACAACATAGGCAGCCATTATTGTAATGGCGTATTCCATTTAATATCCGTATCCCCCCTGTCGAGGTTCCATGGAATTCGTCAGGGGTAAAGGGTTTTGAGCTTGGAATTCCTCAGGAGTAAAGTGTTTTGAGCTTGGAATTCTTCAGGGGTGAAGTGTTATGAGTTTGGAATTCTTCAGGGGTAAAAGGTTTTGAGCTTGGAATTCTTCAGGGGTAAAGAGGGTTGAGATTGAAATTTTTCAGAGCTTGGAATTCTTCAGGGGTAAAGGGTTTTGAGCTTGGAATTCTTCACGGGGTAAAAGGTTTTGAGCTTGGAATTCTTCAGGGGTAAAGGTTTTTGAAATTATAATTCTTCAGGGGTAAAGGGTTTTGAGCTTGGAATTCTTCAGGGGTAAAGAGGGTTGAGATTGAAATTTTTCAGAGCTTGGAATTCTTCAGGGGGTAAAAGGTTTTGAGCCTGGAATTCTTAAGGGGTAAAAGATTTTGAGCTTGGAATTTTGGAATTCTTCAGGGGTAAAAGGTTTTGATTATGAAATTCTTCAGGTGTACAACAATGAAAAACATGTATCCTCGACAGGGGGGTGGGGTTACGGATATTAAATGAAATAGCCCAATATTGTTTTAACTTTTAAACTAAGTAAATATTTGGGGCACTATGTCTATAAAATTTGAAAAGGAGATTGAAATTTGCAAGATACCCATTCAAATGTCGACGACTTTCAATTGACTGAATTTGCAAACAGGCTGAAGCCTGAAAATTTCAATAAAGGTAAGTATTTTTTTCTAGTTTTATCGTAATGCATGAATAAACGGAATAGCTAAGTTTTGTTTCTAGTTTTATCATATATTAATTGCATATAATGCGTTCATGAATATCTGAATCGCGTGAGTATCCAATATAGTATATATAGGTATACTAATGGCATTATTAAAGTAAAAATATATTATTGTATGTATTTTTAATACTGTACATTTTCTTACTAAAATGGATATTTAATATTTTAGTGGATTTTCTTCAAAGACAACTGAAGAACGTGAAGGATAGTTTAAAAGATGTCTCGACAAGAGGTCCAAGATGACCAGATCTGGGGCGGTTGCTTCATCTTTGCCTCCGTGCAGATTCTTCGAGAAAATGGCATTCCTATACAACGGTGCTGGTAACAGGCCCCACAGAGAGCAATTTAGCGGCCCTAAATGCTCTGATATCTCGCCCCCCCCCCCCAACAACCCCAGTTAGTCAGAGTATAACTCTGACTGACGATTTTCCTACAACTTCCCACACGCCACAAGAAGCAACGAGAGCAAGCAAACGACCAGCACCATGCACAGAATTGTTTGCCACAAACAGAAGTGGAAATCGCATGTAAAGGGATGCAGCAGAGCTGATGCTCTTGAAGAAGTTGAGTGACACTGATGCTTCATACAAAAAGATGGCAGAGGATGAAGATGAAGAAGATTTGTTATATTGTTGGA